AAAAAAAAAAAAAACAAAAAAAAAAAAAAAAAAAAACAAAACAAAACTTGCAAACCAAATACAAGGACACATCAAAGATATCATCAACCATGACAAAGTAGGCTTCATCCCAGACTTGCAGAAGTGGTTGAATACATAAAAATCCATCAAGGTAATCCACCATATAAACAAACTGAAGGAGCAAAACCACATGATACTCTCCTTAGATGCTGAAAAGCATTTAACAAAATCCAGCACAAATTCATGTTTAAAGTCTTGGAGCGAGCAGGGATACAAGGCACATACCTAAACATAGCAAAAACAATATACAGGAAGCCTATAACCAATATCAAACTAAATGGAGAGAAACTGAAATCTATCCCACTGAAATCAGGGAGAAGGCAATGCTTCCCACTCTCTACACATATCTTCAACATAGTAGTGAAGTCCTTGCTAGAGCAATAAGACAATTAAAGGAGATCAAGGAGATACAAATTAGAAAGGAAGAAGTCAAAGTATCATTATTTGCAGATGATATGGTAGTATACCAGAGTGTCCCCAAAAATTATATCAGGGAACTCCTACAGCTAATAAACAACTTCAGCAAAGTGGCTGGATACAAAGTTAACTCAAAAAAATCAGCAGCCTTTCTGTATTCAAAAGATCAAAGGGCAGAGAAACAAATAAGGGAAACAATACCCTTCACAATAGCCACAAAGGACATAAAGTACCTCCATGTGAACCTAACCAAGCAAGTCAAAGACTTGTATGAAAAAAAATTTCCAGTCTCTGAAGAAAGAATTAGAAGAAGATATCAGAAGATGGAAAGATCTCCCATGCTCATGGCTTGGCAGGATTAACAAAGTAAAAACGGCCATCTTACCAAAAGCAATCTACAGATTCAATGAAATTCCCATCAAAATACCAACATAATTCTTTACAGACCTTGAAAGAAAAATTCTCAACTTCATATGGAATAACAAGAAACCCAGAATTGCTTAAAAAAAAAAATCTGTACAATAAAAGATCTTCTAGAGTTATCTCCATCCCTGATCTCAAGTTGTACTATAGAGCAACAATAATAAAAACTGCATGGTACTGGCATAGAAACCAACCTGTGGACAAATGAAATCGAATGGAAGACCCAGAAATATATCCACACACTTATGGAAACCTGGTTTTTGACAAAGATGCCAAAACCATTCAATGGAAAAAAGACAGCATCTTCAACAAATGGTGCTGGTCTAACTGGATGTACACATGTAGAACAAAGCAAATAGATCCATACTTATCACCCTGCACAAAACTAAATTTCAAGGGGATCAAGGATCTCAATATAAAACCAGACACACTAAACTGGTTAGAAAAAAAAAAAGTGGGAAGAGCCTTGAACTCATTTGCACAGGAGACAACTTCCTGAACGGAACACCAACAGCACAGGCTCTAAGAGCAATTAGCAATAAATGTGACCTCATGAAACTGAAAAGCTTCTGTAAAGCAAAGGACACTGTTGTCAGAACAAAACGATAGCCTACAGATTGGCGAAGGATCTTCATCAACCCTATATCTGACAGAGGGCTAATATCCAGAATATATAAAGAACTCAAGAAGTTAAACAGCAACGAATCAGTTAATCCAATTTAAAATATGGGGTACAGAGCTAAACAGAGAATCCTCAATAAAGGAATACTGAATGGCCGAAAAACACTTAAAGAAATGTTCAGCATCCTTAGTCATCAGAGAAATGCAAATCAAAATGACCCTGAGATTTCACCTTACATCCATCAGAATAGCTAAGATCAAAAACTCAAGTGACAACACATGCTGGAGAGGATGTGGAGAAAGGGGAACCCTCCTCTACTGCTGGTGGGAATGTAAACTTGTACAACCACTTTGGAAATCAATCTGGCACTTTCTCAGAAAATTAGGAATAGCACTTCCTCTAGATTCAGCTATACCAGTCCTAGGCATATATCCAAACATGCTCAAGTATACAACAAGGACATTTGTTCAACAATGTTTGTAGCAGCCTTATTTATAATAGCCAGAAGCTGGAAACCACCCAGATGCCCCTCAGTTGAGGAATGGATACAGAAATTGTAGTAAATCTCCACAATGGAATATTACTCAGCAATAAAAAAAAAAAAAAAGGAAATCATGAAATCTGTAGGCAAATGGTGGAAACTGGAAAAGATTAACCTAAGTGAGCTATCCCAGAAGCAGAAAGACACACAGGGTATATACTCACTCATAAGTGGATATTAGATATGTAGTATAGGATGAACATACTAAAATCTGTACACCCGAAGAAACTACTCAAGAAGAAGGAATCTGGCTAAGTTGCTCAATCCCCATTCAGAAAGGCAAGGGTGGACATCAGAAGAAGGAGAAAACAGGGAATAGGACAGGAGCCTACCACAGAAGGCCTCTGAAAGTCTCTACCCTGCAGGGTATCTGAGCAGATGCTGAGACTTATAGCCAAACTTTGGGCAGAATGCAGGGAATCTTATGAAAGAAGTAGGAAATAATAAGACCTGGAAAGGACAGGGGCTCCACAAGGAGAGCAACAAAACCAAAAAAATCAGGGCACAGGGATCTTTTCTGAGACTGATACTCTAACTAAGGACCACTCATGGAGATAACCTAGAACCCCTGTATCGATGTAGCCCATGGCAGTTCAGTGTCTAAGTGGGTTCCATAGTAATGGGAACAGGGACTGTCTCTGACATGAACTGATTGGCCTGCTCTTTGATCACCTACCCCTGAGGGGGGAGCAGCCTTACCAGGCCACAGAGGAAGACAATATAGCCACTCCTGATGAGACCTGATAGACTAGGATCAGAAGGAAGGAGAGGTGGGCCTCCCCTATCAGTGTACTTGGGGAGGGATATGGGTAGAGGAGGGGGAGGGAAGGTGGGATTGGGAGGGGATGAGGGAGGGGGCTACAGGGGGCAAACTGAATAAACTAATTAATAAAAAGAAAAAGAAAAAAGAAAACAATCATACTTCAGCTATAATTTTATGACTGCATAGAAAATAAGAGAGTAAGTTCTTCAGACATTAAGTTCATATTATACTATTAAGTATTTTAAAGCAATCCACCTTTTGGTGAAGATGCTAAAATAATGAGTAAAAATTTTCAGAATTAAAATGAGATGTAAAAAAAATAAGATGTATTTAAAAAGTTAATAAAATGTATCAGTGACCAAACATACTCTCAAATTAGTTCTATCAAGGCTATCATGGATAAATAAATCAAACAAACCCAAAAACCTAGAACATACAACAAGACATTTTAAAAACTGTAGAAATTAAGGAAGAAAAGGGGTTTTTAGGCATGTAGTATTTCATAATAAAAGCCTTCTTTAATGTAGAGATTACTACATAAGCAAAATAAACAGGAGGGAAAAACTAAAAATTAATACATCAGAAGAGTTAAATATCTTAATAATTCTGTTGTCGACTTCCACAAAGGGGTAAGATAATTCTTCAGTTTATTGCAAACGCATCTTAAAAAAAAAGTCAGCCACAGTATTAAAGCTATAAGACATTTTTAATTACTGGCACTATACAGTAAAGCACAAAGAACTTTTAAAATAAGACAGGGTAATAATTCATTGGACAGTACACATAATAGCTTTTTCTTACTTCAATGTATCCAGTGATGAAAATCATAGGCTAGTTTCTAAACACATGTAAATAAAAAATAGCAAAAGCCATGGTTTTCTCAAGAATACTATTGTTTACACACCACATAGGTTGTCTTACAGCAGATACTAGCTTGCCAAGCTTCCGGTGACAAAATGCTAAGCTTTTGCATTTGCAATTGTCCAGCTGGTTGTTCCTTACTCTGGAGATTCTGGTGGCATATGCCACTGAGAGATCATCCTGCTGCCACCAGTTCTTTTCTCACTGTTGAATCCACTAAGATAGAGCCTTCAAGTCCTTACGATGCAAGGCCTAGCAAAAAGCCTCCCACAAAGCCACTGGATATCACAATGTTCTGCTTGATAAATTCTGTTGCCTGAAAATCAAAGTGTCAATAAAAATACTCTTAATTATGCTACAGTGTAGATGAAACTTGAAATATTACAGTGCATAAAATAAGACAACAAAAGGACAAATGCACAATTCTGATTATGGACACTCTAAGAGTCCCAAAGGAAAATAGAGGCTAAGGAGAGGGGAATTTTGAAGAAATAGTAGCTAATAAAATTATTTTCTAAGTTATTGCAAATGGATAATGGTAAGTAGTAGATTGTACAGAAGCATGGATGTACAAAATGCCTCTGAATTGTATACTTAATTATAGTAAACTTTATTTTTAACAATAAAAATGCACAAATTTTAAATACCTCTTAATTATTGAACTCAAGATAAATAACATTCCCAATTATTTTCATTTGTTGTTTTTTGATTGTTTGCTGTCTGTTTTGCTTTCTTAAAATTCAGTTTTATTTTGTAGCTCTGGCTTGTAAGCTGTTCTATATTTCACGACAATCCTCCCGACTCAGTCTCTCAAAGTGCTGAGATTATAGGTATGAGTAATTATGCCTGACTCAAACATCATTAAAACAATGCAATCACGAGCCATGTTTTCTACTGAAACCTATTACAAAAAAAAAAAAAAAAAAAAAAAAAAAAAAAAAAACAGAAGGGAAAACTGTTCATTGTCTTACTTCTTCAATTATATTGTTGATTTCAGGTGCTGCTTTATTCGCTCGCTTCTTAATCTGTCTTTTTGCTTTGTTTACATCTTTTTCAACTCTCTTCCAGTCGATCTGCACATAGCCACTGTGACTGGCAACCTGTAAATATTCAATAAAAATTACTATTATCTAAGAAGTAGAAGGCCATTTAGATTTCCAGGAATCCCTGGAGCTTGTAAGTAAGAAACTGTTGCTGACTCACCAATTTAATCATTCAAGAGGCACTGAACAAAGTAGACCTATGACTCCACTCCTCCTAGGTGTGCTTTGGCTCAGTTAGAAAAAAAGACATTTACCATAGTAACTAACTCCTTAGATGTAATGAACACTGGGTTAAGAAAAACATAGTACATGTTGGGAAAGATTTAAAAAGCTGTATTGCAACTATTATAAATGCTTTTATCATACATTTTAGAATAGGGAATCAGCTAAAAAGACAGGTTATACCAAGTATACGACTAATAAAAAATACCTTTTAGTTACATAGATGTGAACTAGCTAGCAGTCAGAAGGTAATCAGTTGACAGGCCATTAAAGAAATCTAAAATAGCCTGATAAAGGTGCTTCACTAGCTCTGAATCTACTTAAGAAGACAATGTGGGGGAAAAGGAAACCTCTGTTCACTGTTGGTGGGATTGCACATTGATGCAGCTCTTTTGAACATCACCATGGAGAATTTTCAAAGAAAAAAAAACTAAACTAAAAATAACTCTACCAATTGATGCAGCTAGACCACTCCCTGGCATATGCCCAAATAACTCGACATCCTACTCCACAGATACTTGTTCAACCATCCTGAGCTATTATGAAGAGTTCCTTGATTCTCTGTTCACAAGAGCTAGGAAATAGAAACAATCTAAAAGTCCTACAACTGGCAAATGGGTAATGAAAATGTAGTATATATATACTTTGGGAAACTATTCAGCTTTAAAGAAAAATGAAATAAATTGCAGGTAGATAGATAAAACTAGAAAATATTATGCTGAATGAGGTAATCCAGACCCAGAGAGACAAACACCACATTTTTTCTCTCATCTGTGGTTTATAGCTTTAAATCTTCAGGTGTGAATATATAACATGGACTAACCACAGAAATCAGTTAAGAAAAAACGGGGTCAAATGTGTGCGGTATGCTAGAGACAGGAATGTGTGTGTATGGTACAACTGATAATTGGGGAGTGGGGAGGGAAGTCAATACAGAACAGGTGGTATGATATAAGAAAAAAATAACACTAAGAATGTTTGCAAAGGCTATAAGGAATATTTACTAAAATGATGTAAAATGCACATTATTATTTATATACACATATATGTGTACTTACACACACACAAAGTTATGTCACTTGGGTTGACAATACTACTCCCAAGAGCAACTGAATGTTGAGCAAAAACTCTAGTACTGGATATGAAAAATACCATTTACCATTGTAGGTTATGAATATTTTAAAAAGTCAACCTTTATACTATGAGTCATGTTGGTGATAAAATAACCAAAAAAAAAAAAAAAAAAAAAAAAAAAAAAAAAAAAAAAAAAAAAAAACAAACTTTAAGTTCACTCACAGAGATGGAGATTCAAGATGGCGGTGCCAGGAGGACAGTGTGTCTGAAGAGCACAAAAGCAGTGTCAGCACAGCGACCAGGAGAATGAACGCTGGGCCCTAAAACACCAGCGATTGTGATTCCCAGGTGAGAGGAAAACCCATGGGAATCAATCGGGAGTGACCTCAGGTCACCCAGTCAATCCCTGAAAAAGGTCCGGAGGACCAGTGGGCACACAACCACCTGCCAAGTGCGGGGGCCCTGAACCGCCAGCCTCGGCCTCCATCCCGGCACAGGATCCTCAGCAGTGGCCCAGAGCTATGACCTCAGTCGCCGAGCAGAGACCTACGGCATGCCGGACACACTGTCGCAGATAGAATTGTGACTGAGTTTCACTCTCCTGAGAAAACCTCACAGGGAATCAGCAGGTCCAAGCTTAGGGCTTTCAGCCAAAAACCCCACACACATGGAAAAGTTCTTGGAAAAAGTTCCAAGGTACCTGCAGGTGCCCAGTCGTCAGCTTGTAGTCACCACTGCCTGTGTGTATTACGCTCCACTCTACACAAAACTGTGGAGCCAAAATACCACAGACAGGGTCTCCCGGTTGGAAGGAAATCCCACAGTGGAGGGTAAACACGATCCAACCTCAGGCCAGGCTCTAGCTCTTGCTGCATGCATGACAGCTGTGCTCACCTGCCACTGATCACAACTTGGTACTGGTTCACAGAACTCCAACCTCAGACTTACAGAAGCCTGGGACCCCCAAGATCAGCCCCCAGATACTGCTCCAAGGGACACCCAGTTATCCATAACTAAACGGACCAAACCCCTGGGCTCCCCGGTCCTTCAAGAGGGCTGTGCCTGGAAAACAGTATAACAACAGCAGCAGCTCACTAAATTCAGAGCAAGAAACAAAGAAATAGGGCAGCTATCTCCAGAAATTCAATGGGTGAGAGGAAAGCCCCCCTGACTAACAAAGACAACAGTCACATCTCAGATCTATATGCCTGAGATGAGCTACGGCAATTCCTGGAAACACCAGCCATTCAGTGACCATACCCAAAATGCGGAGGAGGCCTCTTTCAGGAAAAATCATCTTCTTGACAAGGGGATACTCCCCACCACAGGATTCCAGGAAGCACCAGAAACTAACAGCCAACACCTAAGATAGCCCAGTGGGTAGTGGCCAGCATAAAAGCTCAACCAACAAAAGACAGAGCAAAATGACATCTCCAGAATCTAGTTATCCAGGGGCAAACAGCCCTGGACACCCCAGCATAATGGAAATTCAAGAAGATGACCTTATATCTATGCTTATGAAGAGGATAATAAAGGAAACAAATAAAATGCATAAAGAATTAGAGAAAGATAAAATCAAAGAGATTATGGCCATCCGTAAAGGAATACAGGATTTAAAGACAAACAGATTATAGCCATTCATGGAGAAAAATGGGAAGATGCAGCCAAACAGTTTATAAACTTTAGAGAGGAAATAATTAAATCATTGAAAGAAATAAAAGAAACAGAGGAATATCCAAACAAACAGCTGAAGGAACTAAAGGAAATACAAGAAAATACAGTCAAACAGGTGAAGGAAATCAACAAAAAGATTCAAGATCTGAAGATAGAATTGGAAAAATTAAAAAAAAAAACACAAATGGAAATCATGGAGAGGAAGAACTGAGGAAAGGAAACAGGAACTACAGAGGTAAGCATAACCAATACACTACAAGAGATGAAAGAAAGAATCTCAGGTGTGGAAGATACAATGGAAGAAATCCATGTATCCACCAGGGAAATGTTAAATCCAAAAATTTCCTGACACAGACCATGAAAGAAATCCAAGAAAATATGAAAAGACAAAACTTAAGAATATAAGAATACAGGAAAAAGAAGAGTCCCTGCTCCAAGGCCCAGAAAATATTTTCAACAAATCATAGAAAAAAAATTTCCCCAAATTAAAGGAGAGGCCTATAAGCATACAAGCAGCCTACAGAACACCTAATAAGTTAGACAAGAAAAGAAAATCCTCCCTCCACATAATAATAAACAGTAAGAATACAGAACAAAGAAAATATACTAAAAGCTGCAAGGGAAAAAAGCCAAGTAACATATAATGGCAAACCCATCAGAATCACACCTGACTTCTCAACAGACACTATGAAAAATTTGAAGGGCCTGGACAGATATCATGCAGACCCTAGGAGAACACAGATGTCAGCCCAGGCTACTATATCCAACAAAACACTCAGTCATCATAGATTAGAGAAAGCAAGGTATTCAATGACAAAAACAAATTTAAACAATACCTACCCACAAATCTAGCATTACAAAAGACACTAGAAGGAAAAACAGAACACAGGAAAACAGTCTACATTCAGGAAAACACAGGAAAAAAATAACCTCACTACAGCAAAACTAAAAGTAGACAAGCATACAAACACACTACCATAACCAACAGCAAAATCAAAGCATCTGTCAGCAACCGGTCATTAATCTTCTTTAAAATCAACAGACTCAACTCTCCAATAAAAAGACACAAGACCAACAGAATTGATACGTAAACAAGATCAAACAGTCTGTTGTATACAAGAAATACATCTGAGTCTCAAAGATAGACATTACCTGAGAGTAAAGAGCCGGAACACAGTTTTCCAAGCAAATGGACCCCAGAAGCAAGCAGGAGTAGCCATTCTAATATGTAATGAACTAGATTTTCAACCAAAATTAATCAAAAGACATGGGGAAGGTCATATCATACTCATCAAAGGAAAATTCTACCAAGAAGACATTACAATTGTGAACATCTATGCCCCAAATACAAGGGCACCCACATGTGTGAAAGAAACATTAACAAAACAAAAATCACACATAGATCCCCACACATTAACAGTGGGAGACTTCAACACCAAACTCTCAACAAAGGACAGGTCAACAAAACAAAAATTAAACAAAGAAACAATATCTCTAACAGAGGTCAGGAATCAAATGGACCTAACAGACATATACAGAACATTTTAACCAAATACAAAAGAATTTACCTTCTTCTCAGCACCTCATGGAACCTTCTCCAAAATAGACCATATACTTGGTCACTAAGCAAGCCTCAAGAGATACAAGAAGATTGAAATAATCCCTTATGTCCTATCTAACCACCATGGACTAAAGCTGGACCTCAACAACAACAGAAAGAGCAAAAAGCTTATACACACATGGAAACTGAACAACTTGCTACTCAATGATAGCTGGGTCAGGGAAGAAATAAAGAAAGAAACCAAAGACTTCCTAGACTAGTTCAATGAAAATGAAGGCACAACATACCCAGACTTATGGGACACAAAGAAAGCAGTGCTAAGAAGAAAATTCGTAGCACTAACTGCCTTCAAGAAGAATTTTGAAACATCTTAAACAAGCAACTTAAAGGCTCACCTGAAAGCCTTAAAAAAAGAAGAAACAGAGACACCCTAGAGGAGTAGAGGGCTGGAAATAATCAAACTCCGGGCTGAAATCAATAAATTAGAAACAAATAAAACTATTCAAAGAATCAATGAGACCAAGAG